ACACACGACATAGTCTGGTAGTGGACAACCTTTTCTTTTTATTCTTCTTCTCCGTACAGCCTGCCCTGGGTTCTCCCAGCTGAAGCCTCCTTTGGTCCGCTCTCCGCGGCTCCTCTTGTGCTTCAGTCTGCCCCGAAGCCTCTATCGGTCCGCTCTCCGCAGCTCCTTCTGGGCTTCTACTTCCGGGCTTCTATCTGGCTTCTACTTCCTCCCAGGGGTGGCACCGGTATATATACGGATACAGTGTCCAATCATGTTAAAGTAAGCAAGGCAAGCTGATTGGCTAACATCATCAGTTGCTAGGCAGACTATATTGTTGAGCGGGTTGTTTACGCGGTAAGCAGGAAACTAACATATTCGATGGGAGGGGTAATCTACCTCAGGCCTCACTCTTTACTACAGGCCTCACGTCCGCCAAGTGAGGCGACCGGGCTCGGGGCTGCGGCTCCCAACATCTCCCCCTTTTTTATTTTTTATGAATGTGCGCATCGTAGCCCTTCCTGGACTGGGTGCAGAGGCTTATGCCCTATGCGTAGGCCCACCGTAGGTCCTTGGCTTAGACCCTGGTCGGCCGTCCCATGGTCTGCCAAGGCCCTGAGGCCCTCGTCCTTTTTCTAGGGCCAGGCACAAACTGGACGGAACCTGGATGCACACAAGCTTGCACTCATTTCCTCTCCGTAAAGAAATCCCCTCGGAGAGAAATTTAGACCTGGGCAGCATCTAACAGTCCAGCGGCTTACGTGCAGGATGGGGTAGGGCCTGGCTTAGGTCGAGTCATGCTGGGGAGGCACGCTCTTACCCGTCATTGACTCATCTACCCTGCTGTGTATTGTCACCTTATGGAGGAGAATGAAGGATGCCTGCCATATCTAGACTCGGTCGTGGGCCAATCGAGCAAGCCATGCATATGCCTGAGGATCTTTTTGTCCATTTCGGGCTACCGCTATTTCTATTCATCTTGTTGGTTGGTCTGTGATGGATCTCCGGTAGGGCAGGTCTGATCTTCAGTCGAGGGCTTTGTTGCCCGTGTCAGTCTCTCCGGTATCCACAGTGGTTCTCGTCCCGGTTCCTGTGGGAAAACACAAATCGCGCCTCGGTTCCAGCTGACCACTGGATCCGGGCCCATCCACTGTCCTGTCAGGACATCTTTCCACTTCACCCACCCTTTATGGTTGGGGGAAGGGTTGCAGTGCTCCACAGCTGGGGAGCGATTATCATTATTTAAATTTAAAAAATTGTGTGTGAATAGTGCCATGGATAATCGTGCCTTTGGGGCCAGGCCTTGGCCTACTCCCCCTTTTTGTTTTTGTAAAATTTTTTTGAGGCTTCTATGAGCCCTCTCAATGATTCCTTGACCTTGGGGATTGTATGGGATACCATGTTTTAATTGAACCTCCATCATTTTGCAGAACTCATTGAAAGCTTTGCCTATATAGGCTGGTCCATTATCAGTTTTTAATATTTTTGGTTTGCCCCATGCGGCCCAAGCCGCCAGGCAATGATTGATCACATTAGACACTTTTTCACCTGTTTCTGCTGTTGCAAATATGACGTGAGAACAGGTGTCTGTGGAAACATGAACATATTTAAGAGTCCCAAACTCCTGTATATGTGTGATGTCCATCTGCCAAACATCACCAGGGATCAAACCTCGAGGGTTTACTCCCCCTTTTTGTTTTTTATTTTTTATTTTTATCTTTTTCGTTTTTTTTTTTTTTTTTTTTTTTTTTATTGGTACCAGGGATCGAACTAACAACTGCACACTTGCAAGGCAGGCGCTTAAGCCGCTGAGCTAAATCCCCAGCCCCTTTTTCCTCGACCGGCGTTTTTCTCAGCCTGCTCGGCAGAGTAGCCGCCCATGAAAATACCGTCTGCCCAGCGGCGCGACGTCATAAGACTGCGGTCGCGACAGAGTGAAACGGGGCGTCACTTCCTGTGCCGGCTGAGGGAAGGGAGGGTTTCCTGTGGCGGCCTCTCGGCGGGGAGCCGCTTTTAGAAAAGAGCTCCAGGGCGGAGCGGATGGCTCTCTATCTCCTCCCCGCCAGAGAGCGCCGGGGAACCGAGTCTGACCATCAGCGCGCCGACCCTCTCCCACAAGCATTCTCTTGTTCCACCCCCGGTCTCCCCGATTGGCGTTTCTCTCAGCCTGCTCTGCAGAGGACTCTGCATACCAGGCTCGCCAATCCAGGTAACCACCCGAGGGCAGACACGCCCCCGCCAGCTGAATCCAGTCCGCGGGGGTGAGGGGCCCAGAAGACAGATTCTCCAGCATGGCAATGGTGTAAGGCGCAGTCGGCCCAAAAGTTGTAACTGCATTTTTAAGTTCTCTAATCTGCTTTATCTCAAAAGGCTCCCGTACATTGCGTCCCTGACCCATAGCTACTTGTACAGGAAATATCTCGTAGGGGTCACTATCCATCCCAGGTGGTGGATGTACCTCATGAAACAAGCGTCTCCCCTGCCAAAGCCACCTGTGAAAATACCGATCCGCCGGCGGCGGAGCATAAGACGGTGGCCGTGATTGGTCGGAAAATGGGGGCCCGTGCATCACTTCCTGTTCTGGCGAAAGGGGAGGGAGCTCCCAGGCGGCCGCCTCGTGGCGAGGGATCGCCTCCGGAAACGGCCCCCGAGGTGGGGCGGAAGGCTTCGCCTCCCTCTCGCGCCGGGGAGCGCTCAGGAGCTCTCTACTCCTCCGCAGACCCGACTCCTTATGGAGCGACTTAGGCTCCTGACAGCTAGTCTCTTTGGCCTCCCTGCCATTCAACTTTCCCTCGTCCTCGGAGTCAGACGACTCCGAGGCTAGAGCCCCGTCCTCCTCCTTAGCATCCTTGTTCCCCTTGACAGACACCTCTCGGGAGCTCCCTGACTGGGCCTGCTCAGATACCCTGCATACTTTTGTAAGCTCTTGAGAGCTTTCTCCACAACCACCCTCGCTCTTAGTGCCGCTACCTAGCATGTTTCCCATTTTTTAATATGTTACTCACCGCGTGAGGCCCAAAAATCCGCCACTTACGCGTGAGCCTGAGGGGAGTCTAAAAGCCCTGTAGGTGCGCGCCACCCAGAGCCCAGGCTTATCCCCAACTCACCTGTCTCGCAGCTCTGTACTGGAGCGTTGTCCACTGTCACGTCTCGGGGGTGATCAGTCCCCGGGCGGGCCTCCAAATGTCGATGTCCGCTCCCGGCCGGCAGGAAGGACACACGACATAGTCTGGTAGTGGACAACCTTTTCTTTTTATTTTTCTTCTCCGTACAGCCTGCCCTGGGTTCTCCCAGCTGAAGCCTCCTTTGGTCCGCTCTCCGCGGCTCCTCTTGTGCTTCAGTCTGCCCCGAAGCCTCTATCGGTCCGCTCTCCGCAGCTCCTTCTGGGCTTCTACTTCCGGGCTTCTATCTGGCTTCTACTTCCTCCCAGGGGTGGCACCGGTATATATACGGATACAGTGTCCAATCATGTTAAAGTAAGCAAGGCAAGCTGATTGGCTAACATCATCAGTTGCTAGGCAGACTATATTGTTGAGCGGGTTGTTTACGCGGTAAGCAGGAAACTAACATATTCGATGGGAGGGGTAATCTACCTCAGGCCTCACTCTTTACTACAGGCCTCACGTCCGCCAAGTGAGGCGACCGGGCTCGGGGCTGCGGCTCCCAACACTTAGTGTTTATGTAAGATAGCGTTAAACTCCTATCAAGAGGATGCTGTAATATATATTTAAGAGGAAGACAAATTGCTTTGGTTCTTTCACCTTAGAGAACCTCTAGGAGTAGGCAGTAAAAGAAAACAGATGAAAGTGCGCTTTGTTTTGTTTTGTTTTCTACCGTTAGAACATATCTTTAGTAGCTGATAATACTGCAAGGGTAATGAGATTACTGTTAGCAAAACTAAACACAAATAATTAATGATTGTGATTTGATCTAATCAGTAGGTAGAATACAGATCAATAGTGCAATAGTCAGTACCCAGATACTATAGGAAGAGTAATGTAGTAAAAGGAACTTTCTTACTAAGAAACTTAATATTTTAAGGTAAAATACTATTTTTAAGATCTGTAAAATCAAAATATCTCTTCAAGATATTTTGTTGAACATTAAATTTGGAAAGTTTAATGATCAGACTCTACAAAGCCTTGAACAAATTTAGCAGTAATCATTAATACTTGGATTTTTTAAAAGAGAAATTGTTCTCAGGGACAGCTGATGCATTGTAATGCACCTGCAGTCTGAGATTTGACAAAGTAAAGATACTTGAAAATGATGTCCAACTTCTTAAATGCAACTCCCAACCTGCTAAATGTCAGATATGCCAAGTTTGTGATCCCCAAAATTGAGGAATGAATTATAAGGAACAATAGAGGTTAAGAGTAGGAAATAATTTATTGAGAGACAGAGAGAGAATGAGAGCTCCTGAGAGATAGTAGGAGACCTGAAAAACAAGTTTCTGTGAAACCCGCTTTATAGGGTTTTAGAGCGAAATTGTGAGATTTGTACAAAATCTTGAGGTGAAGTGCATGTGAGACAAACCTATGGTCAGTGAATAAGGTTACAAGTTTAGCTGCTTAGGTAATAATTGATCTAGTTGGGAAGCAGGTCACGTAGCAAGTGTACCTGGGAAGAACATACTTTTTTAGGAAGAGATGAATCGAATCAGGAGGTCTTGGTCACGCACTGAGGTGTCTGATGTTAATTTATTGTTTATTGGGGAGGGAGGCTTGGAGGGCTGGTCATTCTATCCTTATTCTGAGGCCTGGTCTCCCACAGATGTGCCTTCCCCACAGTCCGAGGGGGGCCGTTTATCCTCTATATTGACTCTTCCCGGGGCCTGTCCTTGTCTGACTGCTTGTAATATTTTTACCTAGAGTAGCTGTCTATAATATTACTCTATGTGGAATCTTGCTATAGGAAAGCAGAAAATTTAAATCCTTTCCTGGGGTTTAGTAGAATTAACTTAAAATAATTTTATCTTAAAAGTGGAATAATTACAAATATCTTTTTTCCCTTTATTTCAGGTTTCCCCTCAAAAAACCAATAAGGTAAGTTATTCAGTTGCCCGTCATTCTAAAGTTTAGGTTAAATTTTAATTAGAAACATTCCTTCAAAATTACAGGAATTTTTGTGGTTTTTTGAGAAGGCAGGTTTAAGTAGTAAAAAATTTCATAATGCTTCACAAATTTAAAGTATAACAGGTGTTGCATATTATTTCTGGAACACAGCATTATTTTGATAATATTTTCAATGTTTTTAATATAAGCAGTTTTAAAGTTTGTTCAAATTGATACTTAAGGTTACTCCCTATGAAGAGATTTAATTTTAAAATCTGTTTGTGACTGTTTTGAATTGTGTTGCTTGAGAGGTGAAAGTGGATTGTTAGTTTTTGGTGTGTTTGATCACTTGAGTGACTATAATAGTATTTAATGAACTTTGGTATTGATTTAGTCTTAATTATGTAAAGACAAATACATTTTTCTGTATCTGTTTCTGTGGATTTATTTCCTGGGATGAGCCATCTAAGGCTCTTCTCTAGTATTTGTACTTTAACATCTTTTATCTGTCCTCTTAATTATCATAAATATTATTTAAATGTAAATAGTATGTCATTTCTGATTTTTACAAACTTTTATCACTTTTAGTGATGGTATTATCCATGATACCAAGGTTAAGCTAACCTTGGCAGTTCAGTCAATCAGTAGTATAGGTATTACTAATTAGTATAGTTAAGGTCTTATTTATTTCCCAGCCATTATTCAGTCAATGTAATTGGCTAGACCAACACTAAAATAATTTTGGTATCATCTTAGGCCTGGAAGTGTTTGGCTAAGACTTCTGTGGTTAGAACTATATATAGTCAGGCTTGAAGTGAGACTTGTCTGAGGTTTGTTTTTATAAACTATTCTCATGCATCTTGCATTTAGACAGTGATTTTGAACTTGGCCGTAGTATGTATAGAGTAGAGAATATGTTTAATTTCTTTTAGGCACTATTTCTTACCTGTTAAATGAAAATGATGGCAATGGACCTATAAAAACCAACTAAAAGACTACACATGGTTATTTCTATGAATAAAGTAGACTTTAATGAATGCTATTGTTATTATGTGAAATATTTTATAACTAAACTGTATTATACATAACATAGATTGAATTTTAAACCTTTTTGCAAAATATAAATTAGGTTTATGATGCTATGTAAGGCAAAATGATTTCCTGGTTTCTTACCATAAGACACACTTTGTAATTTTTAAATTAAATTTTTATTCTGGTGCTTTTCTTACAGTGAACATTTGATTGCTTTGATTTAATTTAGGCATGGAAGTATTTTGAACCGAGAGTCACCAACAGATAAGAAGCAGAAAGTTGAACGCAGTACATCCCATGATTTTGACCCTTCAGGTAAAACATTTACTTGTTCTTCCAATGAATATTGAGAATAGTGAAGTTCAGAATAATACAGTTGAAGCCCCAGAAAGCACTAAGTTATTGTATCTGTACCTTCTCTCCTCTCTAATCACATAACTTCAAATCTTTGCAGAAATGCATCATTTTTAACTTTCAGCCCTATAGATTTCACTGAAGCATCATTATAAGTGTATTATTTTTTACATAATAATATTAATAGAAATAATTATCATAATTGAAAATTTGAGTCATACCAAGGACCCAAATTAAGATTTATATGGTGTATAGATATATGATGCATAAAGTCAAGGCTATAGCATCTACAATCTTTGATAATTTAAAAGGTGTGATCATAGAGAATTAAAGTATTAGATAAAATGCAACTGAAAAATTAATAACTTTCTCATTGTAGAGTAAGCAAATACTGATCTCTTTTGTTCAGTCAAAAGGTATTCTGAACTCAGCTGTCTTTTCAACCTCTATAGTGTTGATCTTTCTTAGAGTTTTCATGTTAGCAGATTTTAATTATTCTTAGTTTTATGCATAAAGATAGAATTTGATTTGTAAAACATGTGGTTTTCCTTAAGCTTCTCCTTGTAAATTCAATGTCTGATTTATAAAAATTTCTTACATTTTGCTTTTGTTATTTGAAATGGTATATGTTTTTTGAGCACATACTATTTTAGTTGCTTGTCCCTGTGACAAAAGATAAAGTAAATGCTGTGATTTCAAAGGCATAATACTGTATACTGTGTCTTTTAAAGATTTTTCCTTAGAAATAGTTTAAATATTTAATGGAGACTAACCTATACATATGTAATTAGGATGTTTCATACTTTTAGTATGAATTGCTTTTTATTTTGAAATAGCATTATACATATTAACTAAGAAAGAAAAACTAGGAAATAGATAGCTTTACCTGGTTCTTGGTTACTAGATAAGAGAAAATCTCAGTCATCATTTTAGGAGGCTTTTCTGGTGAAAGTAGTATTGTGTCACTTAGGGGTTTCCATGAAGAAAGAATCGTCAATTTCTAATACCTAGTTTTGAAGTCGTGGGGCTCAGAGGCTCTCATTTATATGAATAATTATTGTCTTCCTGCTCAGGTACAAGTTTCTGCCGTATGCTTATAAAAGTATTACGGTCTTACTAGTTTTATTCTGTATTGTTCATCTGTAATGTGCCCTCTCCAAAGCCAGATTTAGCAGAGATATAATACTTCATGATGAGATTATTGCAGCTCTTTGTCCTTTTGTCATTGCTACAGTTAACAGATGATATATTTTACAGACTATTCATGTGTTTTTTAAATTACACTGTCTTTTCTTCAATAAATCCTTAAAATGTGTCGTTACCTATACTGTTCATGACTGTTCTAAGTGCTATCATCTGTGATGTTCATTTTTCATGTTTGCACGATTTAACTTGATCATGATTCATTCCTTTTTTTTCCCATGAATTTTTCCCCTTACATTGGTCTCCATATTTTCTATATCTCTCCTTTTCTCCCGCTCTTGTACAGATAGCTCCTCCAAGAAGACAAAGTCTAGTTCAGAGGAGAGTAGATCCGAGATATATGGTAAGCTAATGTAGCTAATTCAGCCTTGCACCTTTGGAGCTTGCTTCATGCTGTTTCATTTGTTTGTTTGTTTGTTTGTTTTTAAATAACTGCAACCTTTCTTGTGTCCGCTCTGCATGGCATGATATACTGCAGGGAAAGGGAGCCTGGGGTTTTAATGTGACTATGATATGGAAGCTTAAGGTGCTAGAAACTAACGTAGATTGAGAATAGGCCAAATTACTCATTTCCTCTTTGTTTTTGTTTATGTTAGGAGACTGGTTATTTCTTACATGTTTGGATCGGGTTTCTTCAAATAACATGAATGAGTTTTGAATTGTTGGCATCTTCTTTCCATGTTCATTTGCAGACTTTGGATTATGTAAAATTTAAGTAATTAAATCTTTTCCTCTAAGTATAGGACTGGCATAATTTAAATGTGTTAGCAGTTCTTTGGAATTTTTGGTTTTTATATATATTCTTTTCTTTTTCATTGCCTGGAAAAGTCATTTATGTAGAATGTATCTGTAATAGCAAGAAAAATCATTATTTTTATGCTTGAAGAAGTTTTCTGTGCCTTTAGAAGTTTTCTTGAAATGTATTCTGAGTAGAAATTTTTCAAAATGATACCTTTAAAAATAATCTTCACAAAGAACAAGTTTACTCTGATTGGTCAACCTTTCCAACACATGATGGAAATGTTAACTATTTCTAGACTGTGTCCTGTCTTCCAAAGATGTAATAAACCCATGTTTATGAAAGTCAAACAGATTTTTCCTTTTCCTTTGCAGTTTTACCCTCACACATCTGTTCTTTTTTCATATAACTAGTTTTTTGAAAAAAGTGAATGGGAAACGCATTTTCTGGGATAAAAACTTTTAAAATAATGTCTGCAAGACTATTACTTCTTTCAAGGAAATTCTAAATTTGGCCTCAAAAAAAAAAAAAAAGAAGCATTCTCCAATGGAACCAAGTTATCAAGTATAAGTTTGGTGAGGTGCACGTTTTTCCTAGCCTGATGTATATTTGAGAGGGGAAAAAATAAACAAGCAAACATACATGGAATTGTCTCTTCTCCCTTTAAAACAATTAACAGTTTACATCTACTGCCATTTGAGCCCATAAAGTCAGATACTCAATATTATGAAACCTCAGTGTTTGATTCTAAACCAGTCTTTTGTATGTTACATATCTACATAGTGTTTTACTTGGCATTTTCTGTAACATGTCAAGTTTATGCTCCAAAGTATTTTGACTGTCAATGAGAAAGAAATAACTTCCCAATTCCTTAAGAGTCTGTTTTTCTGTTTTATGTAAAGAGCTTTCTCTGTCCAGAAGAATATGATTATTATGCTGATAGCTCCATTCTTTCCAGTAGCCTTTGCAGTGTTGTATTTCATCTCCCTCACCATTTTCCCACATCTGTGGTATGTATACAGAAACTTGCTATTTGCTTTGGATGAGGGCTAACAATTTAGGAATTTATGACAAGAAATATTAGACTAATACTTTTCTTACCAGTGATAGGATACTATACTAGTTACAACATGCCATTAGCTTGGTAGTAATAAAAGAATTTTAAGTGGTAGTTAGTAAGGTGTGGCTTCTTTGTGTGTGTTCCTTGAGAACCCTTGAAATATCTTGTTTGGAAGGAACTGAGCCACTAGTCCTCAAAAAGTACTCATTAGAGAGGTGAGTTGATCAGGACAGAGTTTGTATGCTAATATAAATCTCTTTGACATTACAAATGTTTTATCACTTCTGTAGATAGACTTCAGGCTGTGTGCAAATAGCATGGGTAGAAAAGACCCTCCAGAGAGCCTAAAAAAGTTTGGAAATATGAGAATGTGACTGAGAAGACTTCGCAACAGAGAACGTTTCTGTTTTAGTATAGGTTTTTACTATAAACCCACTTCAAGCTTTTGAGATTATAAGTTATCTTCTCTTTGGGTAAAATTCTTTATCTGAGTACTTAATACAAAACTTTATTTTAAGCTTTCTTAGACATTTTTATAGCTACTTTGTGAAAGAAATTTACTACTGCTTTCAAAAGGAAACCAAACTAGTGTTTTGTATTGACTTACTAAGTTTCTGCCCAGTGTAGTCAGTCAAAATTTATTCTGTTTCCCCTTATGATTTCTTCTATACCTTTTAGAGTCTGTTGGACATGTAATGGATGACTTTCTCATCTGAAACTTGAATAATACTTGATTTCCTATTTTTCTTTATAGTAGGAAACTTTTGTGAAGTTACTCTGAGATATACAACAAAAGAATTTTGAATTAGACTATAGCTTTTTCCTAACTTTTGTCGTGGTATCCTGAAGAGAATTCCATTAATATTATTTTGTGTAAGAATAAGCCATGTCCTTTTTAAGCTGTTTTAGAGTACTTGAGCTACCATAACAAAATACCATGATCTGTGTGATTTAAACAATAGAATTTTATTTGCTTACAGTTTAGAGATTTTGAAGTCTCATGGAAGGGTGCCAGTGTGGTTGTGGTGCAGATGGTTGCTTTCTTGCTTTATCCGCGTATATGTGGCCTTTTGAAAGAGACTGAGATGATGGTATCTCTTCTAAACTAATCATGACGATCTCACCCTCATGGTTTCAGAAATCATAATTACCTCCAAATGACCAACGTTTAAATGCCATAACTTGGGGGTTCAAGCATCAATAGATGAATTTTGAGGAGACATGAACATTTAGTCCATAACAGAAGCAAAATATACAGATTAGATATCCTTATTTGAAGTGCTCGAGATCAGATTTAGAATTACAGAATTTTTTAAGAATGTTTAGTGTGGTGTAATCCTAGCACTCAGGAGGCTGAAGCAGGAAGATTGCCACAAGTTTGAGGCCAGGCTGGGCTACATAGTGAGTTCAAGGTCAGCCTGGATTACACAATGAGATCTTGACTCAAAAAACAAAATAAACAAAAAGGAATTTTTTTAGAGTGTTAACATATGCATAATGAGATATCTTGGGAATGGGAACCATAATATTGGCTTATTTTACTTTGTATACTTTATACACATAGCCTGAAGATAATTTTGTCCATTATTTTCAATAATTTTGGACATTTTGACTGAGATTAGTAACATGTCAAGTGTAGAATTTTCCACTTGTGGTATCATGTTGGTTCTTTCTTTGTGGCATCAAGTTTCAGACTTTGAAGCATTTTGCATCTCAGATTTTTAGATTAGGGATTATCAGTCTCAACTTGAAATATCTTGGGTTGGGTATTTCAGAGTATACTTTTTAAAAGTTTAAAAGACTTCTGGTAACTTTAAAAATAAAGTTTTTGGTTTGATTCTTGCTCCCACCACATTGTTACTCCTTTTTTTTTTCACCCTTGCGAAGCGCGTTGTGTGTGAGCCATGTGTGTTCTCATTCCTCATTCTCTTCATGTTGTGTAATCCGACTTCTGTATTCGTACTATCTGAACAGGAGCCAGAGTACCCTGCTTGAAGGTTCATTAACTTTCTTTCAGCTCTCACTTTCCTTCTGAACCACTTGGCAATGCAGATGCCCTGCCTTTGATTTTCACAGTATCATAATCTGAGTCTTTCCTCTGTGTAATTGACTTTTCTGTGTTACTTCCTCCATCTTTGTGTGTGTGTGTGAATGTTTAAAAACAAAACAAAGCAAAACAAAACAAAAATTGTTTATCTAACACATATAGATATGATGCAGAGTTTTGTCTCTAACTCTTCTTCCAGTTACTCATCACATTTTTAAACTCCAAGTGTCTTTCTAGTTCAGATAACCAGAAACCAGTCTTACTCTTGATTTCCTTAATTTTTTAATGGCACTGTAATTCTTTGATTCATGTAGTTGTATTTTCTTTAAGTTATCTTTTACTTTGCCCTGTTTTCCCTATATACTATTTGTCAGGTCCTCTTGTTTCTGCTCTCACAGTATGTTTCATTCTTCACTCTGGTTTCATCTCCATTTCTTTATTCAGTTTTCCATCATGTTATTGAACTATTTTTATAAATTGATCATTTTCATTTCATGTTAATTCATTTCCTTTTCTACATTATTGTATATCTTGCCTTGACCTGTCAAGTTAATATTATTAAAATAAGAATTTGGTCACTTGCTAGGAGAGTTTAAATTGTTACTCAGATATGCCATAATTTTGTTTCTAATTCTCATTCTGCTTTAATGTACTAAAGGTAATAGACTGTTCTCAGTTTCCTTCCCAGAATACATCTTAGTATTTTTTGCCAAATGCAGTTCTCTTGTCTTGAGTGGTTTGTTTTTCTACTGTAATTTAGGATCCTACCTGTCCTTCAAGGTTGAATTAAAGCATTCATACATAATGACAGCTAGGAGGAATCAGTTGAGATGTATTCTTCCTCCTAGTTAATGATGATGTAGTCTTGAAAAATGAAAAGAGAATGGGTATTTTTTTTACCAGAAAAATGACAAGCATGCATATTAATAGATCTGTTCATTAGCTAGATTTAACTATTCCACAATGGCTATATACTTCTAAACATCATGTTGTATACAGTAAGTACATGCAACTTTATCTCACAATTATAAAAGATAGCCTCCTTCAGGGCGTTCTAGGTTTGCTCATCTACTTTTGTTTTTTCTGAACTTTGATATTTTGCTTTCTATCTCATTACTGAGTCTGTATTCATCTTTGCATCTCCCTCAGTGCCTGACTCCTTGAGTCAGTCCTTAAGTGAGTTGGAATAAATATCGAGGTTGAGAGGAAGTAGAAAAAATGAGTGGAATAAAACCTTGACTTACTAATTAACTCTTTCTTCCTTTCTGAAAAACTTTAAAGTAGAAGAGAATATAACTTAGACTCATTTCTGGTAGTGGTCTGAAAAGTATGAAATCAGCAAACTTGGAATTTGGGTCTCTTCTTTTTGGCAGTGTTGTACATTTAGAATGCAAAAGCTTCTTAATCAAAGGATTATCTAAGATCTTACTCATAAAACATATATGTCTGGCAGCAGTTTAAAAATGAGCTGTTTTTATTAGGTTGCACATAGTTTTT